ACCTCGAATAGCTCCGTTTTGCCTTCCTAAATTTGCGTGCATAGTCCATGTATTTTTTCGGAAAATTTTATGTTAAAAATTGAAGAAAATATGAAATCTTGCCTTAAAACTCAGTTGAGTTAACTCCGATCAACAGTTTGTATGAACGGACCCGAATCAGTATTTTTACGGTCCTGGTGGGTCCGTATCGTGATTTGGGACTTAGGCATATGGCCGAAATCAAATTTGGAAGTCCCTAACTTTATTTAATGTGATTTGTTGAAAATTAGCAATTTAAAGGTTTAAAGAATTTCTATGTGTTGACCGTATGTTGACTTTGTTACTACTGGGTTCAGATTTCAGTTCCGGAACTTGGTATAGGTTCATTTTAGTATTTATGACTTGTTTGTAAAATTGGTGCAAAACAGATTTGACTTAACATGATTCGGACGTCTGGCTATAAATTGCATGTTCTTGAATTTCTTTGATTTGATGTCTGATTCGTAGTTTTAGGTGTTATTTTGGTGTTTTGATCGCCCGAGCGAGTTTGTATGATGTTATTAATGTTTGGTTTGGAGCCCGAGAGGTTAGGGTGAGTTTCGGATAGGCTACAGATGATATTTTAACTTAGAAGAATGTTGGTTTCTAAGGTCTGTTGATGTCTGATTCATCCTTCTTCACGATCACGAAGCACTCTCGCGATCGCGAAGCTTAACTTGGGCTGGGGGTGGATTTACTCTACGCGAACGCGGGGAACAGGTCGCGAATACGATGCTTCGGGGGGCTTACCCTTCGCTAACGCGACCACCCACACGCGAACATGAAGCTTTATGGGGATTCTGGGGGAGCTTGGCAGTGTTCTACGTGAACACGATCATAGGGTCGCGAACGCGAAGGCCAAGGGGCAGATCCATCGCGAACGCATAGGGCATCTCGTAAACGCAGAGGCCTATAGGGCTATTATGCTTCGTGATCGTGTCAGGTCCTTCGCGAACGCGATGAAGACCTGACGCTAGTGATTTAAAATGTTCCAAACACAGCATTTCACCCATTTTTCACCATCTTCTCATTAGAGCTCGGTCTAGAGGCGATTTTGAAGAGAAATTTCATCTCCATTTCATAGGTTATTATATTTTAACTCGTTTTCTTCCATTTCCATCAACACTCATTGATTTCTAACCTTAATCCATGCTTTTTCATGGTAGAAAATTAGGAATTTGGGTAGAATTGGGGGGGAGGGGAGGGGTTTGTAAAATTGAGATTTAGACCTATAATTGAGGTTGGATTTCGAAACTAATCACATAATCGGGCTCGGAGTGAATGGGTAATTGGGTTTTGGTTCGAATCTTGGGTTTTGACCAAGCAAGCCCGGGGTTGACTTTTGTTGACTTTTTGGAAAAAGTGTAAAGATCTTAACTTTATGTATTGTAATTGATTTTCCTAGTATTGTTTATTGATATTAAGTCGATTTTGGTTAGATACGGTTGGTTCAGAGATGAATTTTAGAGGAAAGGCCCCGATTGAGATTTGATTTACTTGCGAAGCGAGGTAAGTGTTAGGTTTAACCTTGATTTGAGGAAATTAGGAACCCTTGAACTATATGTTATGTGAATTACATGTGTAAAGGCGTATATGCAAGGTGATGAGTGTATATATACTGTCAAAATAGTTATTTTCATGCTTTCCCGTATTTCATTAATTATCTTATTCCATGTCTTAACTTTTACATGCTTTAATTGCTTTTTATGCCTTAACTTGTTACTTGTCATCTATTTACTCTTGTATTGAAATGCTCGTTTCTTCCATGATTCCATGATTAATTGCTACTTGCCTTACTTGTCTTACTTGTACACTTTAAATGGCATATATTTGGCTTGTCTTGTTGCTATATATTAATTGTAGCATTTCTTGATTTGGTACGAGGTTCCTTTATGGCTTTGCTTTCATATTCTTCAGTCGTAGAGATACTTGTGAATTGAGTTGTTGAATTGATTACATTTATTAATTTTGTTTATGGATCGGGTTGCACGCCGCAATGGGTGGAATAAGGGATGATTGATATTAATATGGTGGGATCGAGTTGCACACTTTAACGGATTTTATATGTGATTTTGATATGGTGAAATAAGGGAGGATTATGATATTGATTCTGATTGATATGGTGGGATCAGGTTGCATGCCGCAATGGATTTTACATGTTATTCTTGATATTGATATGGTAAAACATGGGAGGATTGTGTTGTACGGTGGGATCGGGTTGCGCGCTGCAACGAATTATGTGTGTTGTATTGATTGTTGTATTGTGTTAGCTTTCAGTATTTTCATACGAGATTCTGAGAACTGATGTTTTTGGATTTACTGATTTCGTGGATTGAGTTTTCTTTCATAGGTTAATTGCCTTACTTTTCTTGTGTTTCCTTTCCTATTATTATTATTATTATACCGCGTACAGGTTATTATAAGTGACTCGTCTTAGCCTCGTCACTACTTTATGGAGGTTAGGCTCGGCAGTACAGAGTACACGGGGTCGGTTGTACTCATACTACACTCTGCACTTCTTGTGCAAGTTTTGGAGTAGGTCCTAGCGACGGTTAGTAGATTTCTTGGATTGATTGCATGACGGAGACTTGAGGTACAATTGCACAGCATTCCCATCTCTGAAGCCCCCTTCTACCTTATTCTAGCTGTGTATTTCATTTCAGACAGTTATGCTTTCATTCAGACCATTATTTATATTAATCTAGTCGCTCGTGTACTTGTGACATCAGTTCTGAGATTGTATCTAGACATCGCTGTTATTTTGGTTTACTCACTCTATTTCAGTTTTATTTCAATTTTATTCAGTCTCTTGGTATCATTTAATTGGATTTGTTAAAATCGCTAAAAACTATTTCTAACGTTGGCTTGCCTAGCAAGTAAAATGTTAGATCACGTTCCTGATGGTGGGAATTTCGGGACGTGACATGAAGTCACTATTTATAGCTATACCTAGGGAACAAGGTCCTAGGATCAAGCCCCTCTTAAATGATAATAATGGGGGCCATTGATGAATATGTAACGAAATATCATGAATGCCAAAATTCTTTGTAACGGATGCGTATTTAATACTGAGGATTATTCTCCATTGAATGTCATCTGGTGGCAAATATTTATTTTTTCTCGTGGATAATATTCCCTTTGGGGTCTACCCGGTGCCAACCGAATCTGTTGTCCTCGATCTTGGCTTTCACTTGCTTCGTCTTCCATCTACCCCGGTTCCACGCGCCACTCTGTCATTCGAGTATTTAGTGTGAACCGATTTTACCCTACACAATAAGTTATCTATAGTTCAAGTTCATAAAAATTAAACACGTAACACTCTTGTAAAATGAAAAGTTTTAGTCAACCTAATATTTGTGTTGAATTTCCATTTTATAGGGATATTAAGTGTATGATCTTAAAAACTACAAGAAATGTATCTGCAGTTGAATCATATTATAAGAATGTTTAGGGTAATTTACTCATAAATGTATTGTGAACTTAGGTGAATACATAAAAGAATTTTAAAAATCAGTAGAACTACGTGAAGATGAACATTGAGAGCAACAACAACGCGTTATGGGTCCCTAAAAAGAAGCTGTGGTCTCTAAATGGTTTCTAATTTAGATGTGAACCTTTTAACCTAGCTGCCTCACGAGTCCCTGTCATCCTTAAAGAAATTGTCCCCTTGTTAAAATATTCAGCAGTACTTAGCTTATACACTATCACTAGTACTTGTACAAACAACGAGAGAAAGCGTCCAAGCCTTTAAATTCTTTTAAATTGCTAGGAAGCATCAAGGTTCATGTAGTTAGATAAGATTACACGGAAAATTAGTATAAAACAATAACTTTTTCCTCCAATAATAGACATGTAATGAATATTATACCATTTACTTTAAAGTCATCTCAGCTTGCTTAATGTTGGTGCGAACAAAGTCTCACATTGGTAACTGAAAAGATTGCGAGCATTTCTTAATGGTGTGAGGCCCTTTGGGAAAAACCGTGTGGATCTGGCCTAAAGACGATAATATCACACCATGTTAAGAGTATTTTTAGGCCGTTTAAATCTAACAACTGGTATCAGAGCCCAGATTCGGCGGGACGAGTATGGAAATGGCATAGTGATGGTGCGGGGCAGCGCGCTCATAAGAAGAAGCTAGTTGTATGCTTCGGTTGCCATATGACAATGTGGATGGTACACAGTGAATCTCAAAAATTGACCCGTGGATCGTGGTAATAAGCCACGTGGAACTAGTTCGAGGTGGAGACCCGTGAATCATGGTAGCGGGTCCCATGGAACTTAGTTCAAGGGGAAAATTATTGAGTATGTGAACAAAGTTCCGTATTGATAACTGAAAAGATTGGGAGCATACATATAAGGTATAGAAATCTCTTAATGATGTGAGGCCTTTTAGAGAAAATCGTATGAGTTTTGCCCAAAACGGATAATACTACATCAAGTTAAGAGTATCTTTGAGCCGTTTAAGTCTAACACTCAAAAATCTCAAGCAATGGAACTGTGATCATATATACATTTGTGATCATATCTAACTTCTATATATNTGATTGATATATAGTCAAAAAATACAAATTCTTTTATTGTATGGATTTTATAGAATAAGTTTAAGGGAAACTTAATATAGTTTGAATTTAAGCCACCCACTTCTTCTTTTTTTTTTTTCCACATGTTATTAATGGGAGCATCAGCTCCTCCCCATTTCACGAAAACATCATGGTTGAACCAGTCTAACAAAACTTGTATTTTACAACATTAAAGTTGCTGAAGTACTATATTAAGAAGCATCCAGGTAACAGATGAAGTAGTTAATTAAGTAGATATCTACTTGATGTATTTAGATATATCTATGAAAAAAATAAAAGGCGGTGAAAGACTTTGGTATTTGGAGCAAAAGTCATACATAAAGTCTTCCCATATTGTCATCTTCGCCTTTTTTAGGTCTCATTATCTCCAAATTCTTAACTTCTGAGTTCTTTCAAGAAATGGCACCTCTCAGAAAGAACACAATACAACATTTTACACACCCAGAACATTCATTAACAGAGTATGATTCCAACACTGGATATCTATGTGATGGTTGCAAAATCCCTGGCATAGGTAAAAGATATCGCTGCCATGGCTGCGAATTTGACCTGCATGAATACTGTGGAACATGCCCAACAATTCTTTCTTCTTTTATGCATCCGTACCATTCGCTCAAGCTCGTCGTCCGCAAGCCACAAGGCAATCGCCAATTCGACCGCATCTGCAACGTCTGCTGCGATTCTGTTGAAGGCCTTTTTTATCGGTGTGAGATTTGTGAATTCGATGTCCACCCTCTCTGTACTCAGTTGCCTGAAACTCTGCGCCATGTCTTGCATCAGGTAACTTATTAGATATCTAAACTGTCTAATTAGGAAAGTGTAGTATGGAATTTATAATATATAGTTCATGGATGGAAAACATCCATCATTCTAATATTAAATTTATACATAATGAAGAGAGGAAAATGAGAGAAAACAAAGTGATTTTTACGATTTGACCTTAATTTCTACATTTCATCTCGTTTCTCACGTGATTTACACACTGTTAGATAGCTTGTACGGTGGGAGACAAAAAGTCCCACATCGATGGACTTAAAGAGTTATTTGAGGATTTAGGGGTTGTTTGGTTACCGGTTGATAAGGATAATAATTTCGGGATAGAGATTGTATTTATTCCATATTTGGTTATAAGTATTAGCTAATACCTAGATAAATTTTACACTAAAATAGTGGGATTAGCTATCTCATATAGAAGTGATAAATGGACCTTAGGTATAACTCAACCTCAAAAACTAGCTTATGAGATGAGGATTGCCCAAGACCATATAAGGAGACCAATGTGATGACTCGCTATGTCATCATGCCACATAAGCTCCATTTGGCATAAATTAATGCCATGTGTAAGCTTACATAGAAGGAATGCTTGCATTTGTGAGAAGATTCTAGAGAAGTATGGACATTTCCTTTGGAAGATCCTAGATGTTTATGGATTTGCTAGGAAAGTCCTTGGAATCTTCTAGGCTTGTAGAGAATTCTAGAGAAAGCCCTTATCTTATAAATATTAAGGACTTGTGTAACAATTAATATTTACATACTAGCCCCTAGGAGACTAGTATATAAAGGGAGCCATTCATTTGTAATTCATCAAGCAAACAATTCAAGTTTTCTCTAATACAAAACTTCCTTTAACAATTCTCTTATGTTCTTTCTACCATTCTCTTAGCGATCTTGATTGTAGTAAGGCTGACTTGGCATACCAAGAACGTGAAAAAATTGTCAAGTGTCGTACGTGTACTTAGTTAACGACTAAGGACGTGACAACATGGTATCAGAGCAAAGGTTGCGACTAAGGGAATGACGAACGACGGAGAAATTAACGCTATCAACACCCAAGCCAACGTCATCCAGGATGCTGCTGGCAAGAGCGGCCGTAACAAAAAGAGTTATTTCACCAACAAGGGCCAGGAGGTGCCACCCGAGGTTGTGTCAAACGAAGGGCTTACATCCCAAGAGCCATCTGCCACTGAGGCGAGCGAGGATGAAGTGGAGGTCCTGCCTGAGGACGTCTCGCTCGGTAAAGAGTGGGTGATGAAGATGAACGCGGGGATGGACGCCGTGGAGATCTTTGGCCAACACTTGGGGAAGGTGGAAGGCACCCTTAGCATTCTTGAGGGGCACACTCTTGAAGAGATTAAGAGCATCCGAAATGACTTGGAGGGACATACACTTACCGAGATGGAACTAAGGCAAACTATCAATGCCTTAGAGTGCAGACTCATGGAGGCTTTGAGTACTATTGATGCTATGAAGACAAAGATAGAGTCACTCGAGGAGCATGTTAGTGCTGGCGTGACCGAGGCAGCCAGCAATGTTGTGGTGACAAGGGAGGCCAAGATCGAGGCTCCCAAACCCCCGATGTTCAAAGGTGTTCGTGATGCATAAGAAGTGGAAAAATTCCTTTGGCACTTGGAGAACTACTTCAAGCACGGCAAAGTGAAGGACGACGAGGCCATGATCAACACTGTAGTGTTGTACCTCTCAGAGACTGCCGTGCTATGGTGGAGAAGGAAGATGGCTGACGTGGATAAAGGTCTATGTACTATTAGCACGTGGGATCAGTTCAAAGTCGAGTTCAAGCGACAGTTCTTTCCAAACAATGTCTTGTACAAGGCAAGGCGCAAGCTTAGGGAGTTGAAGAAAACAGGGAGCATACGTGTCTATGTCAAGGAGTTCACTACCCTTATGCTTCAAATCCCCAACCTGACCAATGATGACTTGTTGTTCCACTTCATGGACGGGTTGCAAAATTGGGCTAAGTAGGAGTTACAATGCTGACAAGTTGCAAATATAGACCAAGCCATAGTGGAGGCCGAATCATTGATGGATTTTAGGCATGACAAGCATGACAAAGGGAAAGTCAAAGAATCAATGTTTAACAATGTCAAAGGTGGGGGAGACCGTGGCAAAGGCAAGGAGATACAACAACAATACTATAAGAATCAAGATTCCAAAAAGTTGAGTGGCCGTCACGGCTATGCCGAGAAGAAGGCGCAGGCCGAGAAGAAGGGATGTTACATATGCGGAGGGCCGCACAGTTCAGGAATTGTCCCGACCTAAAGAGCCTTAGTGCCATGGTCCGTGAACGGAAGGAGCAGCCGCAAGGAGAGAGTTCGGGAACCTTACAATTAGGTATGATCGGATTATGCGGTGTTGTCACAAAGCAATCTATCCAACCTACCGAGAATGGAAACCAGTACGTGGATCTAACCATCAACAACAAGCCTGCTCGTGCAATGGTGGATACTGGAGCAACTCATAATTTTGTGACTGAGGCTGCCGCAAAAAAACTAGAATTGCAGCTTGCCCATCAAAGGCACCTTTCGGCGCACCAGTATTGTTCCAGAAGAAGAAAGATGGATCACTACGCTTGTGCATAGACTACCGAGCACTTAATAAGGTCACAGTGAAGAATAAGTACCCGATCCCGCTCATTGTTGACTTGTTCGATAGACTTGGGCAAGCCAAGTATTTTACCAAGGTGGATCTTCGCAAGGGCTACTACTAGGTTCGCATTGCAGAGGGGGATGAGCCAAATACAACATGTGTGACGAGATATGGAGCCTTTGAGTGGTTGGTGATGCTTTTCGGCTTAACCAATGCACCTGCCACATTTTGCACCCTTATGAATAAGATTTCACATCCCTACCTTGATCAGTTCGTGGTAGTCTACCTAGACGACATAGTCATCTACAACAACACCTTGGAAGAGCACATTAAGAACTTAAGGAAGGTTTTCCAAGTCTTGCGAGAGAACGGGCTATACATCAAGAGGGAGAAATGCGAGTTTGCACTATCAAAGGTGCACTTCTTAGGCCATGTTATTAGCAATGGCGAGCTACGCATGGACGAGGCTAA